TTCTTCTATATATATATATATATATATATATATATATATATATATATATATATATATATATATAGGACATAAAGACTTAAGATTAATACTGCTTCCCACTAACTTCTAATGCTTTTATTTTTCAGAAATGAAGAATGGCAAACCTTATGATAACAAATGAAATGAAAAGGCATGCTGTGATTGTGGTATTAAAGGCTGATCATAGAGATTTGGATAATGCACGTTTCCTCAGAGTTGCAAGATCTTTTGTCCACAAGATACGAAAAGAGTTAGAAGACGCTGGCAGTTCCCCATTGTCTGTATCAAAACGTAAAAGACATTCTACGCGTTCGGATAAAGTGAGAACATTCGAATTTATTCAGGAAGTCAAGCAGACAATTGATGAAAACAGAGGTCAATTGCCAAAAAGCTGCATGTGTCTGAAAAAACAATGAGAAGGAGTGTTTGTGAAGACATTCGATAAAAGTCCTACGTGATAAAGAGAGATCAATTTATGTCTGAAAAAACAAAAAACAAAAGAAAACTGTTTAAACAGATCCAAAAGTTTTTTTAAACAATCTTAAAAATCCTTCAGAAGCTGATCAAAGCATAACAGAAGAAATGACAAATGGCTTTGTTCAGATCCTTCTGAGGGTCCAAGGGTGATGCGCACAAAATTTCCTTATTTATGACATTGAGTGTTGTTAGCAATTTAGGACACGTTATGCCACCACACTTTTTTCCACAAGGTCTTGGAGTAAATGCTGCTGCTTACATTGAGGTTCTAGAAACAGTTGCCAAGCCCTGGATTGACAACATATGCAACAGCAGGTCTTACATATTCCAGCAAGACTCAGCTCCATCCCACAAGGCCCTGCGAACACAAGAATGAATGGCTGACCATTTGTACGACCACATCACACCGAACATTTGGCCTCCTGACTCTCCAGATCTCTCCAGACTTAAACCCAATTGAAAACTTGTGGAGCATTCTGAAGTGAATGTTTATAAGAATGAACGCCAATTTAGAAGCAAGGGTGACTTATGGTAGGAAATAGTTAACATATCACGTGCAATTACATCAGAGGAGATCCAGAAATTGACCTATTCGATGAACAAGCGCTTTTTCCAAATCATTTTAAAAAAAGGGGGTCACATATCTCATAATAATCAAATCCACTATCATTTTTAACTCTTTTTTTATTTCGATTTAATTTCATCTTAGTTATTTGTATGTAACCATAAAAATCTGTAAATGTAGTAGTTAATGGGTTATTTTCTCTTTATTACAGGGTTTTTATGAGGCATTAAATACCACGTGCTTTAGATGTGCTTGTCCTCTGCCTGAAAACAACTAATTAAACATATCTCCATGGGTGTGGATACAAAATGCGTCTCTGTTCATGAGCGGGAATAGTGAGGGATTAAAAGTGTCAGGTATCGAGAGGGGGGTTGGATTTTAACATTCTTATCATTTGCTCAGCTAGAGGTTTTGCAGACATCTTCAGCCAACAAGTTTGCCGCCCCTTCCCAGAAAAAAATACGATATTACAATTCACATTAACGTCTTAAAATATATATATATATATATATATATATATATATATATATATATATATATATATATATATATATATATATATATATATATATATATATATATATATATATATATATATATATATATATATAAAATCAACGACGAAATTATTCGTAAACGCATCAATTTTTAATATATATATCCATTTCCAACCACCTGAAGAAGGTCGGAGCATACAACGGCCGGAACGTTGTGATAAATATGCAACAAAGATGAGGACAATAGCCCGAATAATGTAAATAGTGTGATTTTTTTTTTCTATTCTCAAAATGTATTGTTGGTATTCTTATTACAAAAATGTATTTTTATACTTTCATAATGTTTTGACCCCAGTTTGGGGGTTGACTATTTGCTCATAGATGGTACCCTAACATGCGCGTACCACCCCGGGTGAGGGGGTGGGGAGCTGAGAACGACAACAATTAAGAGGCGGTTCCTCTTGTCGTCCTACCCAGGATGTTCTTTCTAAAGTCTTTTCATTATCTTTCAATCTCATTAGCTCCTTCCGTTTTAATGGCATTATTGCCTTGCTTGGGGTGAATGGATAAAAAAAGTCACATATATGAGAAAGGATGTTTTTGTAATTTAAATCGATAGCTACTTCTTTCAGGTAGTGGAAATATTTTCAAACAGCAATGGCAGCAAGAACTAAAATGGGTAGTTTACATAACTCTCAGAGAAAAATATTGTAAATTTGCTTTTTAACGCCCGCACTAAATATCTCTTAAAATTTTCCCAAATCGTCATAATTCCGTGTAAATGTACATGCTGAACTGGAATTAACAATTAAATTATGAAGAAACCTACCGTTTTGTTGTTATCGACAAGAAAAAATCAGACTTCTTGTTGCTCATTCGTCCCCCATTACTGCCATAATGTTAACTAATACAGTGTGGAGTACTTCTGTTGGCGTAAGCATAAATTTTGGCCTGTTTTACAGCTATATCTCTTTTTGAAAATACTACGCGTTAGTGTAAGCATTTTTTTTTATAAGTGTAGTATTATTTATAGCAGAAAACTTTAAACAAAAACAAATTCAATAATACAATAAAACCTTTTGGTAAATTTGCTTTTTAACGCCCATGCTAAGTATCTCTTAGAATTTTCCCAAATCGTCATAATTCCGTGTAAATATAGATGCTGTACTCGAATTAACAATTAAATTATGAAGAAACCTACCGTTTTGGAGTTATCGACAAGAAAAAATCGGACTTTACTTTAGTGTTAGGTGTTAGGGCTAGGGTTTGGGTTAGGGTGTCTGTGTAGAAAAGGGGACAAATTAATAAAAAAAAATTAAATAATACAATAAACTGTGTTAAGTTTAGGGTTAGGTGTTAGGAGTTGGGTTAAAAAAAAATTAATAAAAAAAAATTAAATAATACAATAAACTGTGTTAAGTTTAGGGTTAGGTGTTAGGAGTTGGGTTAGGCTTCTTTCTGTGTAGAAAAGGGGACAAATTAATAAAAAAAATTAAATAATACAATAAACCGTGTTAAGTTTAGGGTTAGGTGTTAGGAGTTGGGTTAGGCTTCTTTCTGTGTAGAAAAGGGGACAAATTAATAAAAAAAATTAAATAATACAATAAACCGTGTTAAGTTTAGGGTTAGGTGTTAGGAGTTGGGTTAGGCTTCTTTCTGTGTAGAAAAGGGGACAAATTAAAAAATAAATAAATAATACAATCAACCATTATTTCTTTTCTACATTGCGCATTAATTAATGTTTATCTTATTTTCAATTTTAAAATATAAAAAATGCTTCATTGTATTATTTGATTTGTTCTTTTAATTTGTCATTGCTATTCTACACAGAAAAGAAGGTTTTATTGTATTATTGAATTTGTTTTATTTAAAGTTTTCTTCCATAAATAACACTACCCTTATCAAAAAAAAAAAATGCTTTACGCTAATGCGTAATGATTTCAAGAAGAGATATAGCTGTAAAAGAAGTAAATAGGCCAAAATTTATGCTTACGTAAACGGAGGTACTCCGCACTAATTTTAGCAACAAGAAGTCTGATTTTTTCTTGTCGATAACAACAAAACGGTAGGTTTCTTCATAATTTAATTGTTAATTCCAGTTCAGCATATACATTTACACGGAATTATGACGATTTGGGAAAATTTTAAGAGATTTTTAGCGCTGGCGTTAAAAAGCAAATTTACCAAAAATATGGCGTAAGCACTTGCCGTTGACGTTCCAGGCAACAGATTACGAAGGAAGCCCCCATCAATACTAGAAAGAGCGATAACAGCTAGTAGTCTTCAGAAAGGTGCCACTATAGTATGATATCTACCGTCTATTTTCTACTTTAGTATGGTATCGACTGTTCATTTTATACTATGGTATATTTACCAATTGTCAGAAGTGTGAAATATGTTAGGGTTAGGAGTTAGTGTTAAAGTCATTGAACAGTGACCTTGTTATGGTGATTTTTTTAAAGTGTAGCTTTGATGTTGCCGAAAGCAGAAAATATGGGGCACCCAGTGAGGTTTGAACTCACTACTCAGTCATAATTGTTCTAGCTTGCTAACATTTACACCACGTCGAAGTGACCAAATGATTTTCTAAGCATACTTTAAATGTGTCACAAGGTCGAAAGTGTGGGGCACCCAGTGAGGATCGAACTCACTACTTAGTTGTAATTATTCTAACGAGAAAAGGTTGCTAACAATTACACCATGTTGAAGTAGTTATGTATTAATAATCATTAACAATTTTTTATATAAAAAAATCAAAAAATCATCAAATATTTTTTTAATGTTTGTAAACTGATTTGATGTCATTAAAACAAAACAGCAATTAAGGTCATTGTTTTTCGTGACCATTTTCTAGCAATAATTACGTCATTTACGGAAGGCCGCAAATGCCTCGGTAAATATCATAGTAGCACACTTCAGAAACCTATTTTTCTGTAAAAAATATTTTAATAGAAACATTTTTTAAATTTCAAACGACAGTAATCCTGGCTGTTCAGTCGAACTCTTCCACATAAGTATTAAAAGCTACTATTACTGTTAGCATTGCGTACAGAGGTTTGATACCAGTGTATAATTATACGATAAACTATAGAGTTTAATATGAAAAATAATACTGACGAAATAATCACGTAATACATCCCGCAGTTGTCCTATGTTTCAGAAGCAAGGAAGTTGTCCTATTATGAAATCGACTTTTATTGTTTTTCGCCAGAAAACTCAGTGTCAAAGAGATTCAAATTTAGAGAGCCAACGTCGATCGGTTTAGTAGGGCATCCAACAATTAATTAAGAACCCTGGCCATAAAAATTGCTGATTTCATGCGATGTGACAGGAAAACGGCAAAAAAATTGCTTATCACGCGGTAAATCCGGCCAAAAGAGGTAATCGGGGAAAAAATGCATGCATTCTTTTTCCCTCTTCTTCGTTCTTTCTTTTCCTTCTAGTCTTTCTTTTTTCCTTCGTTAATTCTTTCTTTCATACTTTCTTTCTTTCCTTTCTTTCTTTCTTTCTTTCTTTTAGTTCTCATACTTTTCTTTCTCAATCTCTCTTTCTTTTTTCTTTCTTTATTTTTCTTTCTTTCTTTTTCTTTCTTTCTATTCATTATATCTAATACTATGTCATCATTTCTTTTAAGTTGTCTTTTCTTCTTTCTTCTTTCTCCTCATCACTTCTTTCCCTTTCTTTCTTTCTTTCTTTCTTTCTTTCTTTCTTTCTTTCTTTGCTCTAAAACTTTCACTTTCCCTGTCTCTTACATATTTTGCTTTTTTCTCCAGCTTATTCTTTCTTGTATTTATTTCATTTTCATTCATTCATTCATTCATTTTTCTTATTTCTGTTAACCTTTCTTTCTCAATCTTTCATGTTTCTTCTATAGATCTTCTTCATTACTAGTTGTAATATTCCTTGCGATTTTCTCTTTCTTTCTTTCTTTCTTTCTTTCTTTCTTTCTTTCTTTCTTTCTTTCTTTCTTTCTTTTGTGATGTCAACGAGCACTCGTTGCCGCTTTTGTAATGCCAACGAATACTCGTTGTCACTTTCATAATACTCGTTGTAGTAGAAACGTTTTAATAGCAGATTCAACTATAGTAAAGCCGTTGAACAATACTGGTGTCAGACGCCTTCGAATAGTACTCACAATGATAGTACTTGCTCGGTAATACTCCCTCGAATAGTAACCACCGTACTGAAAAGAGAAATAGTATAGCGAATAGAGTAGATAATAGCGGTCCGTATAGTAATAGATGATAGACTGGAAATAGCGATCCGATTAGTAATAGAGGGTAGAAGAGTAATGCAGATCTGAATAGTATAGAGGATAGAGTAGAATATATCAATTGTTAGTCGTCACGATAATTCCCATGTATATTTTTTTTCTCTATGGTCACGTGATCTACTTAATTAAATAATGGGATCGCCTGTGTTTGGTCACTGGCGATCTATGTTCAAACTCAAGTATCGGAAGCGACACTTTATTCCTATATAACACATTCTTTCTTTCTTTCTTTTCTTTCTTTAAATTTATATTTAATAACCCTGTTTCTATTTTTTTATCGTTAGTTTTTCTTTCTTCTTTTTCATTTATTTTATAAGCTGTCATTTTTCCATTTAATGTTTTCTTATCACTTCTATTTTTTCTTTTTTTCTTCCTTCCTTCCTTCCTTCCTTCCTTCCTTCCTTCCTGCATTTATCGCTTTCTTTCATTCTTTGTTCAAATAGATTTTATTTGTCTTCTCCGTATTCTTCGTTATTCGTTTTAATTATTCGTTCCCGACTTTCTTTATTTCTTTCTCTCTCCATTCTTTCTTTCTTTCTTTCTTTCTTTCTTTCTTTCTTTCTTTCTCACTCTAATTCTCTCTCTCACTTTCTTTCTTTTTCTCTATCTCTTTCTTTCTTTCTTTCTTTCTTTTTTCTCTTTCTCTCTCTCTTTCTTTAATTGTTTCTTTATTTGTCTCCGATTTTTTTCTTAGTCGTTTAACTTATTCGTTCTTGAATTTCTTTCATTCATTTATTCATTCATTCTTTCTTTCATTTCGCTAACCTTTCTTTTTCAACAATTTCCCTTACGTTTTACCATCTTTCCTTCCCGAATTATTCGTTCTAGCCATTACTTCTATTCAATCTTCCTTTGTTTTTTTTCTTTTCTTCCCTTAACTTATTTCAGTGAATTTCGCTTGAATTAATCACCAATTTCCTGTTAAACAAACTGACCGTTATTTTAACCTTACTTTTTTTTCTTTTCCCTAGCTTCTCATTATTTGGTCGTATTCCTTCTGCTGGTTGAACGTGTGTCATTCGTTACTTCCATTACCAAGTGAGCTCATATGCTAAATGGGGGCCCAAATTAGTAGTGTAAGCTTAGTTATTTCCGAAGGTAAAGTCTTTATTTCAAGTAAAACCTGGGCTGCAATCGGCAGCCATGACGAACTGAAACGTCTTTGACAGGATTTATCGACAACGTTCAGTTTACAGCGAAACATTTCAAGACGGTGCACATCAGCATGTCTATAATTAACGGAAGAAGTGAAATTCTCAGCAGTCTGGGATAGGCTGTTAGCTTCCGATTTACTTCTATACATATATCTCATATTATCACGCACACCAACACATGCACATACACATACACACATAAAGATCATTACAAACGCATATACATACACCTGTTGATAAATTCATATATTCCCACAGACAGAGACAGAGACGCACACACAAACACATAAATACAAAAATATAGACGAGGTCTTGTACGAAAGATTAGCGAATTAGAATAGCGAATATACACGCGTACACAAGAACACACACACACACACACACCCACACACACACACACACACACACCCTCCACGGTGATTTGAACAGGAGTAGGGGTTTTCCCTTCTTTCATGTTTAGGATTTACTCTCCAATTCCTTCTAAAGAATTTTCTTTTTCTTTCACTTTCAGTCGCCCTTTGCGTCTTAGAGCGAATTTATTTAAAATTTCATGTGTGCGTTTATATATATATATATATATATATATATATATATATATAAGTATATTTTACACACATTCACGCACACGGATATATATATATATATGTGTATATATATATATATAAGTGTATTTTCACACACACACACACACACACACACACACACACACACACATATATATATATATATATATATACAAAAAGTATATTTTACATATTCACACACACACAGATATATATATATATATAATATATGTATATATATATATATATATATATATATATATATAGTGTATTATACACACACATTCACACACAGATATATATATATATATATATATATATATATATGTATTTACACACACATTACACACACATATATATATATATATATATATATATATATATATATAAATGAATGTATATTTTCTGATGATCCCTTAATGTGTGGTTTTGCATATATCTTTAGATCTACAAACGCACCCTACCTGATACCGAACCCTACCGGATTTTCTTCTATAAATATTGAGTAATTTAAGCAATATATACAATATAAATACACACACACACACACACACATTCAAACTACTCTAAGGTCACTGACTGGTCGTTACTTATAAACATAACGATGTATGATTTCATACACTCCGAGGACAACCGGACTGTGGCCTATTTTTGTAATGATCAACGCCTTTTTCTTGTCGCTCCCTCAGATGAATCCTATTTTTTATTCATTTTTCGGAGGTGTGATGGCATATAGCAATCGTTAGAAATAAGCAGGTACAGATATTTCAGAAACAGGCGACAAAAAATGAGAGAAAAATTAAAATGCGCATTGCTATATCGAATATTACCTACCAAAACTGGAATAAAGTATTAAATAAAGGATTGTTTTCTTAAGAAAAAAATATCTGTATTTTAATGTTTTGTTTTTGGCAAAACAGTTGCCGTGACTGGCAGCACACAGCATGCATGCTCATAGGGAACTAATTCAGTGAATATACAAAAAATAGAAAGGGGCGTATGGCAAGGATGCGTTTTCTCACCCAACCTGTTCAACCTATGAAGCGATACAATTCTGAGAGAATTAGAAACCCTACCGGTATTTACCAGTGGCAGCCATAATCTTAACAACTTAAGATACGCAAATGGCACACTTCTGATAGCAGACATGGAAAAGAAATTACAAAATCTATAGAAGGAGAGTGTGAAGAAAGGACTAAGGACTACATGAAGAGCAACGAACACTTTTATCCATTGTGCCATGAGTCTTTAAGGACATCTGTGTATGAATTTCTGGGACTTATAAATGTAATGCCTTCAGCAATCATTTTTACCAGTGCTCATATTGCAATTTTTGTTGTTATCATTCCATATTTGTAAGAGCTCATATTGCAATTTGAGTTTTAGTAAAAACGTTGGTTAGATCCATTGACAGGACCCCAAAAATTGTGTGCTCAATATCTGGTTAAGGCAGTGGAGAACTTGGAGAGTGGAATTAACAAGAGATAACTGATAACTGGCATCTATTAGACATGGCACGTGGAACTAGAACAGTTTACCCCAGCGAGCGAAATAAAGGGTTCAGTTCGACATTCCAACCACCTGAAGAAGGCCGAAGCGTACATCGGCCGAAACGGTGATAAATATGGCTACAAAGATGAGGACAATATTCCGAATAACGTAACTAGTGTACATAATACCTCGTCTCAGAAAAATAGACTGAAACAGAAAAATATCGTTAAAAACAAAGAAAAGTGTAATGAATTATTATGCAATATCAGTCCTCCTATATGACAGTGAATGCTGGATAATTGCCTCACAGATGAAGATGTGACCTGATGCAACGCCGTAAATCAAACAATAATAACTTCGCTTCGCAGGGTGCAGACTAAGGACCAAATTCGTTATATTGATTAGTAATTTGTGAGCGAACTATCACTCCATACACTGTGCATTTCGAAGGAGATATTCTCTATTATATGTTATTTTTGTTTCTTCAGTATATGGGCGAGTATAGATCACCATAGATTCGTTTATATTCTTATCTGTGAATTGCAATGATTTCCTGTTACCTTCTTCATTGATTTTTTAAAATTCTGAATAGTATACCCGTGTCCGAATGAATTGAAACAAAACGAATAATTCCATTATTATTTACTTTCTTTCGTATTTTTCCAATGAAACATGACCCAGGGCACATGTTAGGACTTCCTATGTCCATTCCATGAAGTCTTTCCTTGCAGATTGACCACAGATTCTCGATTTACTTTAAATCAGGAGAGGTTCTATAGTATTTTGATTTGGTTACTGGTCCTTGCCATTGTGTCCGTGCAGCGTTACAATTTTCGTACGCTTCATCCGATTCAGGGAGATGTACAATTTGAGCAAGTGGGTACCCCACGCAGTGTCGGAAACCAACAAGAAACAATGAATGACACCCTGTTTCTCATTGGCTTCTAGGGACCGTAACGTAACCATATTTTATCGATTGCTCAACTGTGACCAAAAGTGTATCCTGTCTGAAACTCCCAGTTGTGCCAAGCACACCATGAGATCACCTCTACGCCCAACGCTAGATGCTGCTCTGTATCTAGTGGTCTAATCGATACTGTGATCTTCTACCCACCGACCAAATCATCACTGCGGGCCTTTGCCCGCAGCATTTGGAACGTGTGCAACAGACACCGAGGTAGAAAGAGCCAGTATTGGTTAATCGCAAGCGTGTAATGTTCCTCAATAAAAATACTAGGCTTCATGTGGCGCGGGTGACTATGGATACCATATGGCGACTTGACTGGGAGACACTGTGGAACCTATTTCATTCCCCGGACCTTGGGCTAGCAGTTTATTTCTCTTCCATTCCCTGGACGTGGAAAATCCTTCGCGCATGAGGCAGACTTCCCGCAAGCACTCATAGACTTCTTTGCGTCAAAGATAATTGATTTTCACTGTCGGTGTATTGCGCTGCTGGAGGCATCTTGACAAAATGTTGTGAATGCGGATGTGGATTACTTTAAGTACTAACGGTATATCAGATTTACTGTATAGCTTTTGTTTTCTAATAAATCAAAAAAGGGTAATTTCTTTGGTTAGCTTGTAGTAGTCTACTAGTGCAGATTTCACTTACGTCCATATCCCTTTGAAACACCAGTTCACGCACGATCACCGAAGTTAAGTAACGTCGAGCCTGGTCAGTATCTACATGGGCGTGACTACCAGATTCTGTAAGCTTGAATGTGCGGGTGGTGTAATGAATAACGGAGTCCAGTTTCAATTCCAGTCAGGTTCATTATATTCACTTGGGGAAGGTATCAATCCACATCTCCTCTCTACTGGGTTAGTATGGTTTTTATTGGCCAATCTTTATTATCACACTAAAATTCTCATAAATTAAAAATATTCTCTGGCTTTAAATAACCCGCAAAAGGTTGATAATCCAAAAAAATCAAAAACAAATATAAAATGAAAAAAAATATTTATACAAATGCGTTCTATCAACAGTTTTCAATTCAAGGCTAGTGCTGGATTAGAAACTTAAAGCATCTTAATGAAAATGTTAGTTTTATAGCTGCTTCTTCATAAGTGCACTTTAGATTCCCTGACCAGACCCTTGAAGCTCATGGTTTCTCTAGAGTCGTATTACACGTAACATTCAATTAAAGACAAATGCCGCAAATGGTTGTAAGCAAATGTTAGCAAAGTAAGCCCAGTTCGTTTCTTCCAATGAGATTAATTGGAATTTCTCTGGCTTTACTCCTGTGACGTTTTGCCTACATTAACAACAGGGGAGGTAACTATGAGTGCACTAACGAAGTTTATCGAATGATAAGACTCTGTCAAGGTTGATAATGGTCGTAACGTCTTCTTGCAGCTAGTGCCGACGAAGATAAGCTATTTAGAAATGAATGCGTTCTGTGCCTGATTATTCATCCCCAATCTTTCGCTATAACGGCCATTGCATAAT